TTGCCACCCTGTGGATCAAGACCACCCCCAGAAACATCATACATACATCACAGAAGGGGTGTAACCTAAGACCACCCCTCAGATACATCACACCTACATCACAGAAAAGGCGGTCTAAAACAGAAATTTGAATATTGTTTTTCTCCTGTCCTTGTTTATCTCCTGTCTGGAAGGTTACTTGATTGGATTGCCTGGGGAGCCCAGCCATTCTTTTGTAGTGATACTTAGTTCCTGGGCCAGGTCACAGGTTCACACCCTATTCATATCTTAAATGTGTCCTTATGACAGGATTTGTGAGGAAAGAGACAATGGGGAGGTTTCCCATTTTGACCTTGCAGAGAAAACATTTGGTCAGTTTAGGAATCAAAATGGTTCCAGGTTGGCCTTCCTGTGCTGATCTATGTATGTATGTACTTGGTTGGTACACTTATGAACATTTAACATATATCTAAGACCTCAAAATTCCTATCACAGTTTATTATTATTAGCCATCTCAAATTTCTGTCTGGGACTCACTTCTAGCATGTTCCTGGACCACAATGTGTCAAAACCAAATTTTAGTTGCTCAACTTTTAGGTAACATGATATGTTGTTGTTGTAGTGTTGAAAACTATATAAAATATATATTTTTAAAAAACAAAACCAACCAGATTTTAGTTTATTTGTTTGACCTTAAGAATTTGCCAGTGGACACTCCAGATTTCAAGGGCCCAATCCAGCAAAAGTTAGTTGCAACTACGCTTGACTGACATTTTCTAAACAGGATAATTAAATCAGCTTCAAATACTAATTAGTTGAACTGTATAATTATTTCTTTCCATGCAGGGCTAAAACATGGGCCTGGATCATCAAATGCATTTACAATGGTACCTCAGGTTAAGTATTTAATTCGTTCCGGAGGTCTGTTCTTAACCTGAAACTGTTCTTAACCTGAAGCACCACTTTAGCTAATGGGGCCTGCTGCTGCTGCTGCGCCGCCGCTGTACAATTTCTGTTCTCATCCTGAAGCAAAGTTCTTAGCCCGAGGTAATATTTCTGGGTTAGCGAAGTCTGTAACCTGAAGCGTATGTAACCTGAAGCGTATGTAACCTGAGGTACCACTGTATTTTATTAGGGAATTGTTATTTTGTTCTTCAGCCAGAACAGGCTCTCAATAGAGATTTAGTGTTTAGTTCAGTTCGTGACTCTTTTCTGTTTGTCAGCTATGTTATAGTAAATATAAAAAATAGGTTTATTAGCATAAGGGTGCTTCATGATTTCTTTAGTGAATTAATCTGGAGGGGCGAATGGCACACACTGCCTTCTGGATACTGTTGTCACAATCACAGTGAAAGTTAGAACAAATCTTCCATGGTTTACATAGCATTTAGAGCATTAAAAGCATAGTAAAAGTGTTTATGAAACATACATATGTTTTATTTATTTACTCACATTTATATTCCATCTCTCCTCCCACTCAGGGTGCTTCCAAATGAGTGTTTATTGTGAGGTGTTTTTTGTTTTATTTTTTGCAGTGCTCACATGTCATTGGTAGCCCAAATTTTTCGCTCTCTGAACCCAGATGTACTATTTGTGGAGGAAATCCAGGAAATTAATAGTTAAATAGTTAAATAGAACTTGTGAATAAACAAATCAGAACTTTCTCATTTATAATGTGATCCTTGGCTGTTCTCCTGTAGTCTTCAGTGTTTAGTTCAGTTCATGACTCTTTTCTGTTACACAGTCTTTGTCAACTACTTTATAGCAAATATAAAAAATATAATTTCTTAGCATAACAGTGCTTCCAGGTAGTTTGTGTTGTAAATGGGAAGGGGGTCATTCAGGTATTGCAAATGGGTTATTGACAACAGTTTTTCATTTATCATACTTCCCCCAGAAAGGGTAAATCAAGATTAAGGGCTTCCAGATTGAATCCTACCCATAAAATTGAGTCAAACAGATACCAGCAAAATTCAGATGGCAGTTTAAAAGGATTTGGCACTCTACTGCAATAAAGCTACTTTCCCCACAAAAATCAGACTTTTGTGGTAAGCAAATGCACTGAAAATGATGGGATAAGCCTGGTTTGATGCAATGTGATATAACTTGCCTCTTAACAAATCAGAATGAACGCTCAATACAGTACACAACCCAGGCTCCCAGGCTGTGAAAACAAATCAGGTTAAATGCTCAATATGGAAATACGCTAAAAAAACAACAACAGGCTATCATGCCTCTTTGGGTGCGTGTTGCAAAAATGTGCATACAGGAGGCGCATTTGTATACACCCACCTGGAAGCACCCTACCACTCTGGATGATTCCAGACCACCATTTGTGGGTGGGATTCAGTCTCGTTTTGACGGCAAATTTAAGTTGTGCAAGGAAAGTTGATTCGTCTCCCTTGCCCGATCAGATTTATTGCGATAAGGAAAACGACAGGGACAATATGCATTGGGGAGTGGGCGATACCGTTTACTTGAGGCAATGTTCTGTAACAAATCAGGAGGAATGCTCAGTAAAGAGGCACATAGAAGTGCCCTCTATGTTCAGGGTAGCAAAAAGAGCTTTTCCATACTAAGCCCCATGATTAAAAAGAAAAGCCAGCAGAGGTGACCAGCACACCCCGACTTTCAGCTTTAAGGTTGTGGCCCTATTACTTGCTTCTAATGGCATGAGACTTGCAGCGGGTCTGCACTTTCCTCAAATAATTACGAGCCTTCTCTCGCAAATAGTATTTTTATTCGTGTATCAAATGCATATTTACAGTGAACGGAGCTGATATGAGTATATACTGTACAAATCTGTTCCTGCACGCATGCACAGACTTCTCTGAGCGGAGGCAATTTTTCCTTGAACAAATGACCTCATTCATATTCTCTTCCCCGCCCCATTACTGTAAACGAGCACCGGAGGTCTGAGCATGCGCAGTGGCGATCATTATCCGGCAGCCTTCGCGACAAGTGCAGACGTCACGTGAAAGCAGATCCGGCTCGGAGGCGAAGGCGGCGCTGCTTAATTTGCATATCCCATGATACATTGCGCGGAAGGCCATAGATGATAAATTTTAAATACTTTTATTAATGTTTTTGTTTCGAACCCTATTATTAAACTGGCCTTGTCACCTTGGAAATCTAGTGCTTACTCAAGGGATTACTTTGGACAGGTCCGTTAGGTATTCGCCCTCACCTGCGAGGCTGTTGACTGATCTCCGGTAGAGGCGCCCGAAGGTTTTCCGGCATACTCTGGTTTCTCTTCAGATCGTATAAATCTTTCGCCTTTTACTAAAGATTTCCGTGGAGAGGAACATTTATGAGTTTATAACTAATTTTTTGAGGCTCTGTTTCGGCAGAGCTGTCTTGTGTGGTTTCAAAAAGCAGAATGAATTATTGATGTGTTGAGTGGGTGTTTGGTGTTGTCCTTAATTTAGTATTATTTTTGCGTTCTTGAGGCTGTAAAATGTGGTTTTTCTATTCCATAGGAAAGCGCGGAGTTAGACGTGGGATGTGTTTCTGTTGGTGTACCACTTGGAGAAGGGCTATTATAAGCAGTTTGGGGGTTTCTTTACTGCTTTGTGGGACGCTAGTGGCACTGTGGGTTAAACCACAGAGCCTAGGACTTGCCGATCAGAAGGTCAGCGGTTCGAATCCCCGCAACGGGGTGAACTCCCATTGCTTAGTCCCTGCTCCTGCCAACCTAGCAGTTCGAAAGCACGTCAAAGTGCAAGTAGATAAATAGGTACCGCTCTGGTGGGAAGGTAAACGGTGTTTCTGTGCGCTGCTCTGGTTCGCACAGAAATGCTGCTCTGGTTCGCCAGAAGCGGCTTAGTCATGCTGGCCACATGACCTGGAAGCTGTACTCCGGCTCCCTTGGCCAATAAAGCAAGATGAGCGCTGCAACCCCAGAGTCGGCCACGACTGGACCTAATGGTCAGGGGTCCTTTACCCTTACTGCTTTCTACATTGCTCTTCCTTTTGGGGTTCTGTCTGAGTTGCATGGTCTTAAAAGATATGAATTATGTTACTTCTCATCTCCATGTCAACACTATGTTTAACCCTACTCTAAAATCTAAAAATAAATAGTATATCACTTAAACAACAATGGGATGACCATGTATTTATTAATCAAAAGCACCCAGCAACACTCACATTTCTGTACTTAAATTTCCTGAGCAAATTAATTATTCCCAGTGTTGTAGCACATTTGTCTTGCTTCTGTTATTATGGACAGAGTCCCTGGTCAAGGCGGTTCAAGACATGTGAATCCCAAGATGGCACAATGTACAAACACAAAACGTCATGATACTCTAGTGTTTGTTAGAGTTGATGTTTGTTATGGTTATAGTATGTTTGCCTTGTAAGTGATCAGTAGTGGAAAAACAATTTAAAAACAAAAGTACAAAGCAAACAGTTAATAGATTATTCCCAAAATCTGAACATTCATGTTTAATACCATATACTTAAATAATCATATGACTATAATAACATGGTTGCAGGCATGTATCTGGGTGTATGGTAAGTCTCATGGAACTCAATAGGACTTCCTTCTGAGTAGACTAACAGAATCGTCCTGTAAAGGTGTTCTTGAATCATTCTCCCAGTATCTTCCTTTGCATCTTTCACCACATCTCAGTATTTTTTATAATATCCAGTTTTGGTAATCATGTTTGTCACAGGGATTTATGTAATACGTGAATTGAAAGTAATATTGGTGTGGGAAGTGAGTGTAATATTGGTGGTAGAATCAATGATTAATATTAGTTTTACTCATGATGTACATAGCTTGGGTCATGGAATAACATGCAGACATAGCATTTTGTGATGCAAGTAATGCACAGCGTTACTAGAACCCCTGTTTTTCCCTCCCTTTTTTTTAATTAACAAACAGTAAGAAGTATTTCAATTTATTTATTTTTTCATTCTGATGGTAATACATGTAAAATGTTGGAATCCTATTTCATAAACATTTGCCTTTTTTCAGAAACTGAAAAAGAGAAATAAATAAATATTGATTCCACTCCGCCACTTCCTTTTTACTGCCTTATCTACTGGTGTTTTAAGACAGTATCTGGTGCACTGGGTCACTTTTTAATAGGGTGGGGGGCTGCAGGACCATTTTCACTAGAAACAATAGAAGGAAACACTTGTTCAACCCAGTTTCCTATATCAGACTTTGTGGTTGAAGGGAAGTGTATGAAAGAGCAGTGAGAGAAGCCGGCTACTCGGCTGTACAATCCAAAAGCAGCTCCAAGACAGCTTAACAAGAAGCAACGCAGCAGGTAAGGGAGATTCATGACTCAAATTGATGAGGATGCAGGAGCCACACAACAGGGAGCAGCACGTGAGAATGATAAAAGCCTGAATCCAGTTTGTGCCCCTAAAGAGATACTTGTTTTAGCAAAGGGGTTTCCTTATCATAGACTATAAAATTTAAGTGGGTTTTGGGGTGTTTTGCAGGCTAGTGGCAGTGAGGATTGTTGAAGGCTATGTAGCATAGCAAAAATGGGGAAAAGTATCCAGATTTAATTGTGAAACCAATATGTATGTTCCAAATAGGTACAACCATCCCCTGATGAATGAGAGACTCTGATTGTATAATGCAGTGAATAGACTGTTTTTACTTTGAAGGATCTCAGGTCTTTACATTGGCACACTTGCCTTGCATTTCCCAGCAATTGAGACCACAGTTATTAGTGTTGTAACCCACACTGAAGGGCGGGTAGGAAAGAAATAACAGTAGTGAGTTTTCCCCCCAGGAAGTGCATGATGCTGTATTTGAATTATTTTCAGGTTGACATTTGATGATGGTGTGTGCACAAGAACCATCTGCCCAAAGGATATGTGTACCGTGTGTTGTGGTTGTGCAAATATCATTAGCATGTATTGATTAATGTTCATTACATCACTAATGAAAAATGACCCAGCTCTCTCCATTCATAATGGGCCGTTTTGTATTTATGTTATTTTTATGTCTTTTATGTCATCATAATTTCTTTTATGGGTTTCTAACTTCACTTAAAATATATTATGAAACATATGAACAATGGAATCACTCTGAAAAATGGTTGCTACCCCCTTCCAGTGACTGAATACAAATCTAGAACTATGTAAAAGCATAACCTGGCTATCACTTTGCTACAATTAATCAAAATTCACCATTTTTGTTAATTCAGGTGCTTGCTGGACTGAAACAGTCTTCCTAGTATTCCTAATAGTGGTGTCTGGTGCCCATTGGAACAGATAGGGTGGAAGGCATAAAGGTCAGCACTAGGTAGAACCAGAGCCAATGGCAGAGCCAACTATCGTAATTCTCATTTTGCCCCCAACCTCCTGCCTGTCCTGCAAGAGGCCACACTGAGACTGAGGAAGAGGAGGAAACTGCCTCCTTCTGGTCTGGGTGTAAGAAAGAAGGCTGGCAGGCAGGAGCTGGCTGAGGGTGGACTAAGGTTGGTGGGGCAGTGACCCATTTGCCATAATAGACCAACCTCCACTGATTCCTAACAGTGCAGCCCTGTGCACAGTAACCTGAAAGCAAGTCAAGAGTGTGAGCTTACTCACTAGTAAATGCATGGAGGATTTCAAGACCAGAACTGCCACTGATGTGAGTTTCATCTGCAGAAATCCCTATCCCGGTTCTGAGAGCTTAACTAGCAAGGATGAACATTAATTAAGTGGAAATTAGGTACTGCCTGCAGGTTCTTGATCCAAGTTAGTGCTAATGTGGTACCGAGAGTTAAAAACTATTTGCTTTTCCATCACTGAAAACCCCCTAACCCAATAGGGTGAACCTGTGGCTCTCAATCTGAAGTTGGACTCCAACGAGGTCCGAAAGCTCAGCAACCTCACAAGGGCCACCAGTTCTCTTCTAGAAAATGTGCAGATCCATATAAAACCACCTAATGGGCATCACTGCTGTTGTCATTATGTAGACAGGGGATGTGGCCGTTTCATGTATTGTAGAGTCAGATAGCAAATATAACATGTTAGGACAGGAGAATCTTGGGCAATTTATACATCAATTATAGAGCATGCCTGGGGACTTTCCCGGTTCTTCTCCCTATAGTTTTTCCATGTGTGGATTTATATTTTACTCACATCCATAAAATCACAATTTGCATATGGTTTTATTTGAGTGGAACAGTATGTTTCAGTTGTGTTTTATTTATGCATATTGGCTGCCTTTGAAAGGCTTTGCCCTGAAAGCTAGCATAGACAAAGGTATTTTAAAACTGAGTAAGAACCACTTATCTGATGCAGAATGTCACATCCCAAGAATCGCCATTTTAATTTATAAGCTAGAGCAAGTTTCTACTCTGCTCTCTCAAATAAATCTATTTTTCAGGGCAAAAAACAAACCCCCAACTTCCTGTGTTTCTTGGCCACATGGACTGAAGTCACATAGCCCATTCATCTCATGCCCATGTAGAGAATAGTAGCTTATGCTCAAATTGTCACAAGCACTCATGAGAGATAATTTAAAAGCAGACACTTTTCAAATACCACCAGAGGGAGGGAAATCAAGGGCAAAGAGGTCTTATGCCAGTGTTTCCTGCTTTCCAGATTGCTGAATCAGTATATTTTTAGCTGTCAATTATACCCCTGACTGAAACAAAGGGAGGAAGCCCCAACACCCTCACTGTTTGCTTCCAGAGAGGCCAGTTAACTGCTTTCTAGAGGGGTAGATGTGCTACTAAGTTGTTTTAAGAACAGTAAGAGCCTCTTTAAAAGGCTGCAAAAGACTAACAAATGCATTATGGCATCAGCTTTTGGTGAAGAGTCTTCTCCAACCTTGTGCCACAGGCGGATTTAGGGGAGGAGCACAACCGGTTCGCCTGCACTAGGTACCCAGCTGAGAGGGCACCACAACAATGATGTAGAACAAAGGCGGGGAGCTGTGTGGATTTAGGTGTCGCACAGGGCACTGCTGAAATTTGGAAGCCCCAAATCTGCCTCTGCTGCTTGTGCCCTGCATATGGTTTGGACTATGGACACATCCACTTGCTAGAAGATTCTGTCCTGCACATGCATGGAAATGTTCTGCAGCATCCACACATTGTATCAAAATAGCAGCCCGCACTTTCCCCCTTAATTCAGATGTCCCTGCTGTTGCTGGGTTGTTGTTTTTAACTTACTGCACTGGACAGCAGTGGCGTAGTGTGGGGGGTGCGGGGGGGGGGGTGCGGCCGCACCGGGCGCAACATCTGGGGTTAGGGCAAATCCACAGGTTAGGGGGCACAAATCCACGGGTTAGGGGGCGCAAATCCACGGGTTAGGGGGCGCAAATTACTTGCCTTGCCCCGGGTGCTGACAACCCACGCTACGCCACTGCTGGACAGGATTAAGCCAAGAAGACCTAGGTGGTCTGTGGTAAGAGGGAATTGGAGAGTATGTCAGTTAGTGTTAATGTGGTAGGGGAGGGCGGCCACGGAAGGCCAAGTGACTCTTGCTCTCCCTTGCCTTGAAAAGCTCGGTGGTTCCACAAGGGATTGCCAGCAAAGAGACAGCAAGGATGATGGCTAGAGAGCAACCGGGGGAAAGTGTGATGATCAGTCTCAGAGTCTGCCTGAAGGCCTATTCAAGTGACAGTGTCAACTGCAGAGAAATATTGTTGTTCTACTATAAAAGCTTTTCTGGGTTGTGAAGGAGTGAAGAGATTTGCTTCTTTCTTGTCCCGTCAGTCTAGGACATGGGAAGTTAACATGGTGCCCTCCATAAGTATTACAACTCCCATCTGGCCCTGCCAGCATGGTCAATGATCAGGGATGATGGGAGTTGTAGTCTGCTCCGCCCCTGCCCCCCCAAAACAACCCCACACAATCTGGAGGGCACTACATTGACCACCCCTGGTCTAGGGCTCAGACAACTGCCAGAACAACACAAGGAAGTCTATTTTAACCTTAAGTATGAAGACTGAAACGGGACGCGGGTGGCGCTGTGGGTAAAAGCCTCAGCGCCTAGGGCTTGCCGATCGAAAGGTCGGCGGTTCGAATCCCCGCGACGGGGTGCGCTCCCGTTGCTCGGTCCCAGCGCCTGCCAACCTAGCAGTTCGAAAGCACCCCTGGGTGCAAGTAGATAAATAGGGACCGCTTACTGGCGGGAAGGTAAACGGCGTTTCCGTGTGCGGCTCTGGCTAGCCAGAGCAGCGATGTCACGCTGGCCACGTGACCCGGAAGTGTCTCCGGACAGCGCTGGCCCCTGGCCTCTTAAGTGAGATGGGCGCACAACCCCAGAGTCTGTCAAGACTGGCCCGTACGGGCAGGGGTACCTTTACCTTTATGAAGACTGAACAGCATTAAGGTGACTTCACACATCTTTGCCAAAGCCACTTAGTGCCCAGCAATGTAAGCTTTTGAGCTGGGGAGACGTGGTGGGATGCATGTATAATTCTGACACATCTGCATCATGCAATTGATCAGAAAAGGCTCTGGCTGAGCAGAGCTGCATCCCAGACTACCTGCTGGTTTCTGAAGTGTATTTAATTATTTCAGCCTGCTTTAAATTACAGCATTATGGCTCAGCGCTGGTGTGTGGCCTTTACTCTGTCACTACTGTGGATCACTGCCAGCCCAGAGCTCCTGGACCATTCCCAGTGCCCCATCGGTTGCAGCTGCTCTTTCACAGACTGGTTTATTCGGTGCTCCAATGCCAGCCTCTCTTCTCTGCCTGCTGGCATCCCACAAGCCACAGTGGAGCTTGATCTGCAGTTCAATCAGTTTGGCAGCCTGCTGGCAGCCTCTTTCCCAGATTTGCCTGAGCTCACCACGCTTTTCTTTGGGAGCAACCAAGTGCGCCGGATTGAAGCAGGAACCTTTCTCGGTGTGAAGAATTTATACCACCTCCACTTGGACAACAATCTCCTCGAAGAGATCCCAGAAGGGGCATTTGAAAACCTGACCAATCTAGTCTTTCTGCACCTGGAGCACAATCGGATTGCTTACCTTTCACCAGGTATTTATAGTTGGGTGTGATAGATAAGGTAGTGATTATCCCTCTCACTTTCATTCCCAACAGTTTTAGGGTATGAATTGTAGGGAAAGGATGCATTTGGGATGAATGAGTGGACACATAAGACTTAGATATATACCACCAGCTGACCAATTTAGAAGCTGAACACAAAGCTGATGTGGAGTAACTTCACTGAAATTGGCTAGTTCAAGCGCGCTATGAATTACCGTATGACGCCCCTTATTTGGGGGGACTCAGATTTAAGAAAATGGGGGGGGATGGCATCGTGTATAAGACGCCCCCTAATTTTTGACATTTTAAAGGAAAAAACCCTAGTCTTATACAGCACACGGAAAAATATGGTATTTCAGCATAAATTCAATATGGATCTATTCAGTTGAGGCAAACATCTTTCAACAGCAATAAAGTAGGCCCATGGTATTACTGCTACTGATAATGAATTGCTCATTTTTGTGTGTGTAATAGGCCAGATTCTGGTGGCCTATAGCCTATTCTGGTGCCCTTCCTGTTGCCTTTTGTATTCCTTATGGCACAAAAGAAGAGTATTATTTTCCTCTTGGTGTGGAAGAAGGGAGAGAGCTCTTGACATTCTCTGCAAATTTTATAAAATTAAATTCTAACACAAACCATCCTTGTTTACAGGACTTCATCCTTGACTCAGCCTTTAATGGTTACCTTCTTTAGTTTGTTGCTTCAAAATGCATTTGGGGTTCTTGCTGCTCACTCTGCTGAGTTGGGACCTGGATTGGGCTCATTCTGCTGAGTTGGGACCTGGATTGGGCTCATTCTGCTGAGTTGGGCCTGAAAGTCCTGTGCTGATGACACCACTGAGCACAAGACCACATTCAGTGCCACAATATTGCAGGAGGGACCAAGAGGTTAAATCTGAATATCTCTAGAGATTACACACACACACACACACACACACACACACACACACACCCGTAAACCAGAATATTAGCAAACTAGTGCAACTTACCCATGAGGAAAGACAAGTTAACCTGGCATCATCCCGAGGTGTCAGGTGGGGGGGGGACTTGGGAACAAACTAGATATCATCAGGCACAAATGTGCACCATTAAAAGCAGAAACAGGCCAGTAATATTCCTTTTATTTATTAATTAAAATAGTTATATGCTGCCTCTCAAATCACAGTTCTGCAAGGACCAAATGGTTGGCGAGTTTCTGTTGTGCCATGTTCAAATACCACTGCTAGCACCATGTGATGTCTGGTTCTCAAAAGTTCTGTGAAACACACTCCCATATAGGCCTCCCATATAGCAATAGCTTTATTAATTAATCTGAGCACAAGCAAGTATAAACACAAACCCAGAGAAGGAACCCTAGACCTAAGCACTTGGTTGCTTAAGCACTTTTCACCCGTGCTGGAAAGCAGTTCACAGATGTGCCCTGCACATCATTACCACCCTGGGGAGGGCAGAAGTGGGATGGAGTTATTAGCTCTCAGCTCAAGGCAGCTCTTACTTCCACTCTCTCTTTTGCCTAGGTGCATTCTCCTCTTTGAAGCGACTGAGTCTGCTAGACTTGAGTCATAACCTGTTGACTGAACTTTCAGACCAGGCCCTTGGTGGTCTCCAGCAACTACGCAAACTTCACCTCAGTGCTAACCTTATTGCCAACATGTCAGCCAGAGCTCTCCCGGGCAACATGCGCATCCTCTACCTCGACTGGAACAGGCTGAAAAGTGTGCCGCTTGCCGTCCGCACCTCTGCCACTCTCTCCAGCCTTTATCTCAGTGGCAACCCAATCCAGGAGCTGACATCTCTCTCCTTTGGGAGGAAGCTCAGCTCTCTGAGGCAGCTGTTCTTAGAAAACCTGTGCCTGGAGAACATTACCAGCTCAACGTTCAAACGGCTACGCAGACTCGAGGTCTTGAGCCTGAGGAACAATAGTTTGGAGTCGCTGTCGCCTCTGTCGTCACTGAAGTATCTCTCGACTTTGTATCTGACTGGGAACAAGTGGCGCTGTGACTGCAACTTAATCTGGCTTCGCACCTGGCAGAAGCAAGTGGTAAGAAAAGATCGCAGCCCAGTGGAATGCAGTTCCCCGGAAGCCCTTCAGGGACAACAACTGGCAAATGTAGAGGTAATGAACAATCTGAATCACACTGAGACCCCAGAAACACCTTGCAAATAGAACTGTCGAAGAAAGAGGGGTGGGAACAGATACCCTTCTCCATCTGCCATCCAGGGTAGCAGGGACATTATCACAGTTCAAGGGCAAAATTTTAGCCACCTGAGGGCACTGATCCTTGATTACTTTGTATAACAGAGATAGTCTAAAGCTGGGCCACAAGACAATTTCCCCAGAGTTGAAAGTGGTATGAAACAGGAACACTTGCTTGGGCTGTGTCCACTAGTCTCTGGCAAACAGGTTTTGTAGGTTTTTATAATGCTTCAAGAATATGCAAAGCCTGTTAGCTAGAGGCAGACAACAATGGGGCAGAATAAATGAGTGTGTACATCACAGGCAATGTTGTCATCCAACCACATTCATTTCTCTTTAAGCATTCTCTGTCTGCAGCAAAATGGGTCACTGAAGGAAGTAGTGGCAATGCTAAGTTCAACTCTGAAGTCATAAGAGCTTTCTTAGGAAGCTGTAACATTCTGTACGTTGCACTTAGTTGTTGTGTACTAAAACGAAGAGCCTTCATTTAGACATTATAAAGGGGAGAGCAAGTGTGACACACATTATAGTTGATACTGGAAGATGACTTCTCTCCTGTCTTCTTTCCCCCTCCAGTTACAGAAATTGACTTGTCCACCTTTTCAAACTGATTCAGCCACCACCAGCTCCTCTACAAATGCCATGCCTGCGATAGCTACTCTACCCGGTGAACGACTTTTGCTACAAGCTACGACCCTTCCAATCACTGTTTTCACTACTTTCGTTACCAGTAGGATGTTCTCTGTCGCAGGAACAACTACACAAAATAATCCCACTTCAAGACCAACCACTCATGAGACCCATTACATACTGGAGAAATATGACCCTTGCCTCTCTGACCATATTAGTAGCATTCACACAAGAACAAAAGACCACACTGCCCTGGTGGTTACTTGGTCTTTCTCTGGGGATCATGACCAGTTTGAAGTGCGCTACACGTCTTCTGTGGATCAGCACATACTGAGAGTGATTGGACCTTTAACTGAGATTGAACTTCACCATCTGCAACCAGGGACCGATTACAGGGTTTGTGTTATTCCCCAGAACGAGAACCTCCTGGAGTGTGTGGCTCCTACAGCCCAGCAATGTGCTACAGGGCGCACTGAAGCCCAAGTTCCAGCTCAGCACAACTTAGCTCTGGGAATTGGCATCACCGCCGCACTTTTAGCACTGATGGCCCTGGCTCTCTTTGCCTTCTACAAGTGGCGGATCCGACCCTTCCAGTTCCAGCGCTACTATGATGAAGATGGGCTGCTTTCCCAACGCCAAGGCACTGCCCAGTCCAAGCTGACCACAGAGCCAGTCTATGAGAACTTAGAAGAGGACAACCAGCATGTTTATATGACAGCTGCCAGCCAATGGCCTCAAGAGAAGATGGACTGCACTCCTGTTGTCCCATCCAGATTTTCATCCACACCAGCCTATGCAAGCCTCTGATATTTATAGGATATTAGTTATTTGTTAAAATGACCAGGTGTCGTGAATGGCATCCAAACCCTTCACAGCTGTGGATGAGAACGTTTCTTACATGACCACAAAGAAATGCTGAATCCGATGGAAGAAATCTTTTCTAACCTGTCTCCTCCTTTGTGAAGATTTTTTCAAAGAAACGAAGTCAGCTTTTATTAACTTTTACAACAATACCAGGAAAGAAATATTATTTGGGTATTCATGTTAGCATAAACTAGTGGCTTTGTTGGCTTAACCTGAAAGGGGATTATGCAAGAGATTCCTATTTTTCTGAAGACCAGAGGAGGGGAAGCACACAAAGATGCCATCATAGCTGCTGTCTGACTATCTGGGATATGCTCCACACAACTGCCATCTTTAGAAATTTTTCATATATATTAATGAAATAGTATTTGTGAAGAAACCCCTGCCTATAGTTCATGACACAATTGCTCTTTTGATAATCAACAGTGCATGGATAGATGTTATTCGCTTTATTTTTTAATGATTCAAGCTTGGCTTCAAGGTAATGTGTTTTAAAATAAATAACCTGGACAACAAAATTCGAACTAAAAAGTAATTAAAAATGGCGGTATTGTTGAATTTTATGAAGGGTTGCTTATTTCCATTTCTGCACTGTCCAATGAGTCAAATTTCTGCTTCTAACAATCCAAACACAATCACTTTCTTTACTCAAGGTATAAGACAAAATATGAACAGAATGATTCCAAGGAGAGTCAATATTGATTTTTCTTATACTGAACCAAACCTATTTTAATTGAGAGCGTTTATGCTTAGAAATATTACTAGCAGTTTTCTTGCAGGCCACCAGAATCAGTCATCCAATGAGAAACATCAGTGACTAATGGGGAAGGCTCACTCATGATGATCCAACAACCAATGAAATATCCCCAATTAGGAATATATGTCACGGTCCACACAATATAATAACCTAAATTTCTGAGAAACAGCAAAAATAGTGACATTGCTTTATACCTGGTGCTGGCCTAGAGCTGGAAGAATTGCTCCCCCAAAGCTCATAGGACAGTGCAGTAAAAAAGTTAGCGTCAAGATTTTCTGTTACCCCATGAGAGGTGGTCCTCTGACAAACAGTTCCATTTAAGCCATTTAGTGAGTCCAAAGCCCTGAATTTGGAAACAGAAGTTTCAGCTAAACAAAATGCAGAAAAGCTGAGGGAAGACTAACCTCAGAGAAAGGGGAATGGGGGAAAACAACAAAGTATTTACACTGGGAAAGGCAGAGTTCACTTTGGAAAAAAGAGAGCTTAAAAACACACAGCCCCCTCAAAAAAACCACAAACACGTTTTTTTTAAAAAAGCACATGGCAGACTTCCTCAAAGCTTTAGGTAGCAGTAGGTGGCCAGACATCCTGGTGTCCAGAGAGGCAGAATGTTTTGTCCGTAAGTCCCGTTGTCTTTATCTGCTCTCCATCTCAAGCACTCTGACGGCAGTCCTATAAGGTGAGGGAAACAGCTTCCTGTGTATTACAGCTGGTGGAGGGTTTGTAAGAGCAAGTGGCGGGCAAAGGAACAGGAATCCAAAGCATGATTGGGTCTGCAAAGATAAAATGGAAATAGGAGAAGGGATCAATGTTAATGAACTTGTACTCGGATCAACAGATATACTCAAAAGGGACAAAGAGTTCAGTTACGTAGCCCTGGAATCTGCCACAGGCAGCTGCAATCGCTAGGTGCTTTAAAAAATACTCAAAATTTCCCACAATGCAACAGTCAGATACACTTGTATGTGTCCCATGTACATGTAGGCCCCATGGTCTAAAATGGGAGGCGGGGGCTAACTGGCTGCCCAGATGTTGTTGGACTCCCAGCATCCTAGCTATGGTCCATGCAGGATGATGGGAGATGCAGCCCAACAACATCTGGAAGGTCACAGGTTAGCCACCCCTGGCCTATCAGGATTATTCTGGTGTAACTATGGAGTACAGAGCAAAGTGTACCGCGGGAAAATGGGGTTGTGGGGTAGAAACAGGATTCAATCTGTAGCAAGAATGAGGCATGGAACAAAGAAGTTCTGCACTGACAGAAGTCTATCCAGGACAATTCTCTCTCTCTCTCTCTCTCTCCATTTCCCATTGTTTAATATGACTTCAATTCTGCCACAATGTGGTCAACCACTAGGTGGTGCTGCAACAGCATGGGGGTACCGGTAATTGCCAAGAAAAGGACAGTGCAACTTTATTGAATATTTGTATTACTGCTCACACTGGGGCATGGTCTGAGACCGTCTGACTGCCAATACCTGCTTGCATGATCTTATGAGGTTCAATGGAAGACAAAAGAGCAACATGGATACAACTGTACTGTTCATATGGATGAGAACAGAAACTAAAGTCTCTTGGGGTCAGATGAAGCAAACGCCAAGCATCAATGAAATTAAAGCCTTGTAGCACTTTGGCAAAAGGCCTTGGCTTGCATTTTCATTTTAGAAGGTGTGGAACCCCTTCTATCCATGTGAACATCACAAATCCTATTTAAATCGCCATCTAACATTATTGCACCTTCTTGAAAAGACATCAGTTTAGAAACAGAATTGTAGAGTTGAAAGGGACCCTGAGGATCATCTAGTCCAACCCCTCACAATGCAGGAATATGCAGCTGTCCCATATGGGAATGAACCTGCAACCTTGGCATTATCAGCACCACATTCTAACCAACTGAGCTATCCAGGCTGAGTAAAGGGGTATTTTTGAAAGGGTATTTTTAGGAAGGGATGGTAAACAGAAGCTATAGTTAAGGTAGTAGAATTAAGTTCCCCTTTGGCAAAAACAAATCTGCCAGCATGGTCCATGCCAATTACAGTTAAGGAGTAAAATTTGAGCCCTTCAGAACTCCCCGTGGGAGGCTCTGTTAATGAAAACTTCTCATGTCATTCTGCTCTTTGAAAGGCAGACCTCAAGGGGATTATTGAGACCTTATGATAAAATATGTTTTTTGATTAACCACACTATTGTAACAATCGTTAGAACACTTAACATTAAAACATCTGAACAAGGTTGTACTGTGAATGGCTCTGGAAAAGAGATCCTCTCTCTCAGGTCCCTCAGGCCATTCACACAGGCAACAAATGGAGGGGCATTAATAAATCAACCATAATGAATGAACAACCCCTCTCCAGATGAGTGTGTGATTCCAAGGCTGGATATCTATCACCCTTAAAAAAACCAACCAACCAACCAACCAACCAACCAACCAACCAACCAACCAACCAAAAAGGCTTTTCAGCAAAAAAGTAAGCTGTCATTACAGTTTATGGCTGACGTTTAAGCCCTTTGCAATATCGTGTCTTGTGCTGAGAGCTTTCTGCTAGATCCAGCAATATGATGTGTCTCTGTTCTCTGGGAGCAGCAGGTGTTCCTAATTTTTCTTATGGAGAAAGGCGCAATACTCACTTTGTAACAAAGGCCAAGAGAACTGGCACAAGAGATTTAGGGAAATAATCCTGCTGGACCATGTGGTTCAGAGTCATCAAAGGGCCATAAAGGCTTGGTACAGCCTTGATCTTCTCTTCGCTCTGGAAGGTACAAGCAGACGTGAATGAGATACAAATGAGTATCTGGGATCGTTCAGAGACCACCAAGAGGCGGCTGATTTTTACAATCAAGGAGTATATTTAAATTGTGTTGAATATAGAAATTGGCTGAGATGGTGCAGTTCAGATACCAGTGTCCCCTGTTTCTCTCCCATCCCTTCGTGGCTGCCTACCCCTAGGGCCTTTCAGAGCCCAGACAATTTCTTTTTGGCCTGAGAAATGAAAGCATGTGCCCAGTGTCCCTCCTGGCCTTACAGGACATCCAGCTGCCATATCATTTATACCCTTTTTAAAGGGCAGAAAAAGCCCTCAAACGGATGCATTTGGGATAGATGGGTGAGAAGAAGGTAAAATTTCACACTTAGCTGTTGCTTGAGCACAATAGGTACTTGATCAAGGCCCTGTCTATGCAAGTGTATTATTTGCTTTCCATTCCTACCACATGCCTTCCATTTGCCAAGAGCAGAAATGGGTACTTCCATTTTAGAATACTTGGTATTGAGAACAGATTTCTGTTATCGCTTATCACCAGATATGCATAGAAGCCTTATATAGTCACAGAGAAAGAACATCTTCCACAAGCAGCTATCTTGGTCTTCTAAATCTCTCTGATTTTTGGAACAAGGGTGCGGTTTGCTTATACAGACCACACCTCACAGTTGCCATTTGCTTCTCCTCTCACCTTGAGCAAACCCATGTGAATCAGGAGGCTGGTAATGAAAGCATCAGAATTGAAGGTAGCTGATGAAAAAGCTTCTCTCATCATGGCATCTGAAAAAAGAGAACGGCAGGTTTCAATTTTTCAGGGAAAGAGGCTTTCAAGCTTCAAGCTACAGTTCTGAAGGCAGGTGGCCAAAAGAAAGACACTAAGAACCTGGTGGGTCACAGAACTTAGCTGGTATCTTCATTGGTGGCTAATCTGCAGCTGCATATAGCTCTTCCTCTAGCATTTTTGTGTCCCCCACAATATCCCTCACCCCCAAAATTGGTTATTATAAAAAAATAGTTAATTTTTACTGACTGCTCCTATAGGCACCCTGCTGTGATACCAAAAAAGTTTTTATGACCACACCAAGACCCCCAAAATGTGTCTTTTCTTACCAAAACTAATAATTAAAAATTGGTCATGCCCTCTTGAACCCTGTAGTCAATGCAACTGACCATTGGCCAATGCAGCCCTTCAGCTAAAAAAAGGTTAGCCACCCCGGCCATAGCGACTGAGCCTGATAGCCTGCTCTTTGCCATCATTCTATTGGCCAAAGTTCCCAGGCTCACCTGTTGTTTCATTCACTGCTGATTTTACTGTTGGCTCATCTTTGAACACAGACGATATCTTCAGAAAAACCGTAACAACTTTCTCTGTGTCAGATGTGTCTGTCTAGAAGAAACGTAATTCCAGAATCAAAAAATGCAGAATCAACGGCAAGGTATTTTTGCTGCTTGAAAGAACAACTAGTCCATGGCCCTTATGCCTGGAATTGCAGCCCATGCATGACACCTGCATCCCCAGCTATTTCAACAAGTAGCAAGCATGGGAAACACAGCCAGATGGGTGGGGTATAAATATTATTATTATGATTTTCAGGGGGAAGAATACAGATAAGTCTAATTATACTCAAGCATATTTTGTAGCCTTCCTGAAGTTATGTAAGTATTTGTACTCTGAATCCTCTGAAACACCTAATAAAGACCAATCTCAAACTGTAGCTTTGCAACAACAACAACAACCCCCCACGACTCATGAAAAACAGCTGTGACTTACCTGCTGCGCTATTAAGGTGGAGCATTTAGGGCCTAGTCGCAACAGTTTCTCTGGAGATGGAAAAGCAAGAAAAGTGCCAACATCCACAGGAGGGAGAGAAGGAGAAACCACTGGAGTAGAATCCTGGAAGAGACGGCCCTGAAAATTAGTGTGCCCTAGTAATTCCCCAGAAAATTCACAAGCGCCAGAACTCTAGTGCTGTAGATGAGAAGTGGAGGGAAAGGCAGGTCCCAAAAAAGAGTTGCGGCAACAGGGAAGGTCGTCATAAATAAATTA